GGATGGCCCAAGTGCTGGGGCCCCTGCACCCGTGTGGGAGACCAGGAAGAGGCACCTGGCTCCTGGTGGCCATTTGTGGGGTGAACCAATGGAAGGAAGACCTTTCTCTCAGTTTATCTCTCTCACTAACTCTGTCAAATAAATAAATAGTTTAAAAAAAAAAAAACTGAATAGAGGAGTAGAGAAGTTAAAAAAAAAAAAAAACATGTTTCATGATACAAATATTTATTTGGGAGCAAACAACTGTGATTTAAAGTAGGTGACCACCTCTGTGGTTCAGAATATTTTCCTAATGCCTTTTTCAAACAGCCTGGCTCCAAGTTTGTAGCCATAGGCCATGTGTTTTAGATGACAATACATTGCATGAGTAATATGTCAGAGAAACTGACCCTGGGATTTATTCTGCTTTTTTACAAACCAGACTGTAAAAGCTATTAGAAGTCTAATTCATAAAGCAGATGGCACCTGATGGGTAACTGGAAACAGTCGTGACATGGTAATGTGTGGTGTGATGTTTATATTTAATGCTAGGAGAGACACACGGAAAGGCTGATAGTTTAATAGTTCCTTACACACTACAAACAATTCACAAAGAAGTCTCAGGGCTGAGGAAGCTTGGGAAATTGACACACAAATATATAAACACTACATTTAAAGAGAAGAAATCCAGAACTAAGGTAAAAGATTTGGGCATAGCTTTCTCCCAACCTTTCAACGTTTCACCTTGTACAAAAGAGGTTTTGCTCCAAGTTCTCCTTCTGTTACACTCAAACACCTGTTCTGCCTCACCATAGCTTCTCCCTCTCAGTTCCCTGCCCAGTGACCCTCACCCTTGGCTGCGGAAGCCCAGCTGCCTCACCCAGTGCAATTGGTCCAAAGTATGATCTGGGCATCAGGAGTGGTCCCAACATGCAGGCAGCGTTCAGAAACTTTCTCCCAGCATGATTTTAATAAGGGAGAACCAGAAAAAGCAGTAAAATAAAACAAGGTGTTCAGAGGAAAATTCTTTAAACCAATTAAAATTGAACAAAGCAAAATAAAAAAAAAAATTCAAACTGGGCAGCTCCCAAAACCACTGAAGGTTCTGTGAACTTCAACCAACAACATGATCAGACAGCATTTATAGGAAAAAAAAAAAGGAGGCAAGAAATAGAAAACAACTTAGTTGGCTACAGCCTAGCCAATCAACCAGTCAATTGGCTGGCTATAGCTTGACTAGTTTGCAGCCTAATCAGTTAACTTGCTACAAGGGCTTCTGCAACCAAAGCTTAGTGATTAAACTCTTTATTAATAGGTTTGGTCTGTTAATCCCAGTGCAGGGGCCCTGTCCAAATCTACTATCTCCTATAAAATATTATTTGAGAGAGTAAGACCATCAAAACCCATTGAGGCCTGAATACATGCAGACATGTAAAAACAAAAAGATGCAGTTGTGAATAAGATTCCTAAACCACACATCTTCATTACCTCTCCCTTCCTCCTTGCCATCCTCCACCAGTCGCCAATGCCTGTCTTGCCCAGGCCCTTCCATCCAGGCCTCCTGCCAGCTTCCTCAGCTCTGTGTCTACCCCAGTGGAAAAGCCTCTAAAATGGTCTCCCTACCTACTTTTATTCCTGCTCCCTTCAATCCATCCTGCACAACATCCCCAAATCATTCACTCTCCCTTCAAAACCTCCAGGGGCTTCTTCCTGCTCACTGTGCCTGAATTTCTTCACCTGATAATAAAGGCTTTGCTCAACCTGCTCCCAGTGGTCTTTCCAGCTCTCATTTCTCACCTCTGAGAAGGAGCCTCACTCTGCTCTTGTCAACTTGGATGGTCTGTAACTCCCCAAACATGCTCTGTTAAAAACTTCAAAATAAAAGGGAGATAGAAATGGAAGTCAAGGGGCTGGTGTTGTGCTGCAGCAGGTTAAGCTGCTGCCCATGATGCCACTGTCCCATTTCCGAGTGCCGGTTTGAGTCTCAGCTAACCCCACTTCCAACCTGGCTCCCTGCAAATGGACTGGGAAGGTAATGAAAGATGGCCCAAGGACTTGGGTCCCTGTCACCCCTGTTGGGGACCTGGATGGAGTTCCAGGCTCCTGGCTTTCGCCCAGCCCACCCTGACCATTGCAGTCATTTGGAGAGTGAACCAACAGACAGAACATTCTCGCGCGCGCGCTTTCTCTCTCTCTCTGCCTTTTGAGTAAACAATAAATCTTTGAAAAATGATAGACTCCAAGTCATCTGCCCCAGGTGGCAGAACTAGTGAACAGTAGCACGTGGAGCCGATCTGGGTTGTGTCCAAAGCTCATGGACACCTGTGGAAACCTTCCCATCTTTCAAGACAATTTCATTCCTGAAGCTTGTCCTGTTCTTCCTCTCTTAAATGGTTTTTCTGTACTTTGAGCTCCTTTAGCACTTTGTTGACATATTTCACAAGGGATCATGACAAGAAAGGCATGGGATGGGTTTTTCAAGGTTGGAGACTTTGTCTTAGGCCTTGTGGATCCATCAGAGCCCTGCACCTGCACTCTCCAGGCTGCCTGCGCTCATTGATTTGGGTAGGCTTTCTGTACTCACCCAACCCAGCCGTACAAGGAGACCCTTATTTATTTCAGGCACAAAGATATCTTCTCCCTACACTGAATATTCTGGTTTTCCTAATCTAGCGTATCAGTACTTTCTTGCTCTGTGCTATTAGTCTTATGCCAACTGATCAGACACTGTTTTGCAACCTGGCAGGACTTTGGGACCTAATAATCAGGTAACACCCAGGGAAATGCACATCATGATAAATGTAATCACAAAACAAACAAGGGTGGTTTCATTATTTGGAACCTGAAACGTAAACTGAAAATGAGAGAGTAAGGCCATCTTTAAACCAATTAAAATTGATCCCCCGATTGCGCTTGATCCCCCTTGCAGGCTTTCTCACCCTTTATCTCTGCTGTACATTGAAGGAACCAAGGGTGAGGCAGCAAGTACGTGTGAGCAAAAGCCAGCTAGAGTAAAAGGGGAAGAACTGGTCAGGTGGCTCCTTTCCCAAGACACAAATAGCATTCTAGGAAAGGAAAATAGCTCCTAGCTTACAAGAGATTGTACAAGGATTTTACAATGGCCCCTTCTTTTATCTTCTCTCCTGTACAGTGAGACAGGGGTTAAAATCCTGCTTCTTGCAGCCCTCAATGAACTGTCCCCAGTGTGATCTGGAAAAGGGCTGCAAATGCAAGATGAAAATCACCTGTTTCATTAGCTAGGCGGTTAAAGCAAACACAAGCAGAATGGAGGAGCGTCCTTTCACCCATTGCTTTCCATGCTCACCTCCTTCCTGGCTACTCCCACAAGAGTTCTCACTAACTGATCTGTCATTGTTCTCAAATGCATTTGGGCCAAAGTGGGAGTCCAAGTTCAGCTCCCTAAAACCCATGGAGAGGAAGGCAGGAGTGCGGAGTAAGGGTTCCCCTCTCTCTGTCATTGCTCACCCCCCTTTCAGCCTACAATAAGCAGTCTTTCTGTGACATAATTCATTACCAAAAGTGAAAATTCCACCAATACTACTTCTTCAGAGCCTACCATGTGCCAGATGCTGCACCAGAGCTGTAAGAAGGGAGGGAGAAGAGGAGGAAGGAAGAGAGAAAAAATAGCCCTAGCTCCTACTTGTGAGAGGTTCACAATCTAAAGGAAGACACGGCTTGAAATAATTTTCAGATGCTATGGTGAGGATTTCCAAATACCAAGGGAGAAGCTCCAGAAATAAAGGAAGAGCCTGTGACAGCAGAATTGGGAGTCGAGGGAGCTATCCTCAAAGAGATGAGGTCAGAGCTGCAGGCTGATGAAGGTGTAGGAGTCGGACCTCGCAGGGAGGAGCGATGTTTGCTCAGAGAGAATCATAGGCACAAAGCCCAGAAGTGTCCTTCCCTCAAAGCAAAGGATTCCCCCAAATCCTCCCAGTTCTGGCCTGATGCATACCCACGGACGGGGGAGGTTGAAGAGAAGAGGGAGGAAACTGTTGATACATTAAACTTCAAAGAAGTACACTGAACATAAATCTATAGCCTTCTTCAATAATGAAGGGCAAAAGAACAAACAACAACAAAAGGCCTTTTAGAGTGGGTTTGGTGAAAACAATCAACTTCCTAATGTCCACAGATGGCATCAGACAGAAGCCAGGTGGTTTTTCAGTCTCAAAGCTGGTGTTTACCTCTCAACCACATGAAGCAGGTGGAGAGCAAGTGAAACAGCACATACCTGGCTGCTGTTTAAATTCTGATCCACACCACAGTTAAGGAGTGGATGACGCCATAAGCAATAAAACCTGGAGAGCTGAGGCTTTTCCTGGTCAAGTCAGCTCTGCTGAAAGAGTGGGTGCAATCCTGCCCGAAATCAGCACGGGGTCCCCTTCCCAGTTCTATCTGTGAACTGGTGGTGACCATACAGATTCTGTCCCACAATCCATCACTTGGAGACCCACAGAAAGATGTCAGACCTGTGCTGGAGGAGGTGGAAATAGCAGATCCCAGAGACCCCTTCGCTCATGGGCCTGGCTACAAGTGAGGTTTTCATTCCTGGTCTTGTAGTTTCCTGGCTGGCCCTACGTCTTGATTTCTTTATCTGACAATGACAATTGTAAGAGCTGCCGCTAATTTTCTTCCTTAGGAAAGATAAATAGCTCTCGATGCAGTTTGAGCTTTCATGTGTTCCAGACACCATGGCCCAAGACACCAGAATAAGCCCAATAAGGCAATGAGCCTGGAGGAACGAAGGCAGCTTCAGCTCCTCCTCTTATTCACTCAGGCATGTTTATTCAGTAGCTCTTTGTGCAGGACAACTAAACACCTGTTTGTTTCCTTGTCTCTCTCCACATCCCTGCTTCATGACCGGCAGATGAGAGAAACTGGCCACATTAGACAACAATGTAAACTGTGCTCATGGAAGCTTCCATCTCAAGCCAATCCTGCCTCATGGGAAACATAAAGTCGGGGACCAAGAAGGCTGCAGAACACTGTGTTCGGCTCACCTGGGGATGCTGGTCAGGTAGGTCATGACATTGAGGAAGTCCTCATCTGGGATGCGTTTGAACCCCGCAAACTCTGGAAAAGTGATGATGGGGGCACCATCCTTCCCTCGGCCTCCTGCAACAGAAATGAGTTGTTAAGATCTTTATTGCAAAATGTATTCACTTTCCGCCTCTGCGGACCGGCACTCTAACTGACATGAGGTCCAGAGACAACGTATTGGCCTCACTTTTTTCCATCTGTATTATCTCAAACTAGAATTTGGAAGAAGTTAACACTCAACTCTTTTGAACAAGTCTGTTTTCTCTTTCATGCTTTCTCAATGGCACTGTAAGAATTCAATTTTTGAATTCTTTGTAGTTACTGAATAAAAGGTGTTATGGGTTGAGTAGAATTTGTCTCCCCAAAACTCATGCAGCTGTTTAAACTCTGAAGTCTAATGTTAAGGTTGGTGGATGAAGAGCATCTAACGATGCAGTCTCAGAGGTAGGGTCAGCAGAGGTCTTTGAGGTTATTGGAGGCGTGCTCTCTGAGGCGGTTCTTGGAAGAGGCTTTAATTATTTCAGTTCAAGCTCAGCCTAGGTTCTCTCTCTGCTTCCTGGCTCACCAGGAATCACCATGTGATCGCTGCTGCTGCACCTGCCACAACCAGCCTGCACCAGGCGCCAGACTAGGGCACCATTCAGTCTTGTAACCTCCACCGTCAGCTGAAATAACCCCTTTTCTTTCTCAGAAAGCGCCTCTCAGGTATTTTAGTTAAAGTAACAAAAAGAGGACTAACACAAAAAGTAAGACTGATTACGTAGAATAGTAAATGATGCCAATGGCATTACGTGAAACTACTTTTCATTTTTGTGATCTGTCAATATCAAAGCTAAAATTGCAAAGTGGTTAAGGGAATTAGCTGTAAAAATCACACAGTCTGATTCAAGTCATGCTGTCCCACTTAATTGCTGTATGATTAGGGGCAACATAATGAACTCAAATTGGTCTTTGTGTATATACATATATAAGGGTAATTCAAGAAGTTTGTGGAAAATGAAATTAAAATATGTTAACTGTGATGCAATAATATTTTGAAATCCACACAGACGAGGGTTTTTTTAGAAAGTTCATGGGAAATGTATGTTAGGAAAAAACCATGCGTGGCTTTCAAATGTTCTCATACCAAAATAAAATCAATTCCACTTTTTCATGAACTTTTTAAAGTTCCCTTATAAACAATACCCGTACCTACATCAAAAGGTATTGTGAGAATTAAGCAAGGACTTAAAGAGACTGCTTATTACAGATCAGTGCCCATTCATATAATTGTTGTTGTTCCAAGAGGCAGTAAACATCTGTTCTTCAAGAATTTACAGAGGCCAGTGCTGTGGTGCAGCGGGTTAAAGCTGTGGCCTACAGCACCGGCATCCCATATGGGCTGCTCCACTTCCGATCCAGCTCTCTGCTATAACCTGGGAAAGCAGTAGAAAATGGCCCACGTCCTTGGGCGCCTGCATCCGTGGGGGAAACCTGGAAGAAGCTCCTGGCTCCTGGCTTCGGATCAGCTCAGCTCTGGGTGTTGCGGTCATTTGCGGAGTGAACCTGCAGATGGAAGACCTCTCTCTCTGCTCTACCTCTCTCTGTAACTCTTTCAAATAAATAAAATAAATCTTTTAAAAAAAGAATTTACAAACAGGAATATAAAACATCCCTGTGAGAATAAAAATATTTAATTCATTCCAGCAGAGGCCACCAAATTAAATTAAATTGATTCTCTCTCCCAGGCTCCTTGCAGCTACATGGAGCCACAGGACTGAGACCTAGCTCCACGGTTCCCAAATTGTGTGGCAGGTTCTCAGGAAATCGCAGTGAACTCACAGGAGCACCAGGTTATGTTTTAAATTTTAAAGATTTATTTACTCATTTATTTGAGAGGTAGAGTTACAGACTGAGAGGAAGAGACAGAGAGAAAGGTCTTCCTTCCGTTGGTTCACTCTACAAATGGCTGCAATGGCTGGAGCTGAGCCAATCCGAAGCCAGGAGCCAGGTGCTTCTTCCTGGTCTGCCATGCAGGTGCAGGCGCCCAAGCACTTGGGCCATCTTCTACTGCTTTCCCAGGTCACAGCAGAGAGCTGGATCAGAAGAGGAGAAGCCGGGACTAGAACCAGCGCCCATGTGGGAGGATTAACCTACTGCGCTTCAGCACCAGCTACAAACACCATACTATAGACTCAAAATGATTCTCAATTCTTTTGGATGGCATTGGGTCTTATAAAGTTGGAATTTTGGCAGTTGCTGCAGTAAAAAACAAACATGAAAATCAATGTGAGACAAGAAATAAGGTTGGTGTCTGATTCCAAGGCTTGTGACGATTGCAGTTATTTAAGAATGAAATTGAGGCTGGCGCCATGGCTCACTTGTTTAATCCTCCGCCTGCGGCACCAGCATCCCATATGGCGCCGGGGTCTAGTCCCAGTTGCTCCTCTTCCAGTCAAGCTCTCTGCTGTGGCCTGGGAGGGCAGTGGGGGATGGCCCAAGTCATTGGGCCCCTGCACCCGCATGGGAGACCAGGAAGAAGCACCTGGCTCCTGGCTTCGGATCAGCATAGCGCGCCAGCCGTAGTGGCCATTAGGGGAGTGAACCAACGGAAGGAAGACCTTTCTCTCTGTCTCTGTCTCTCTCTCACTGTCTAGCTATGCCTGTCAAAAATAAAATAAATAAATATATAGAGGAATAATGGCTCCCAAATAATTGCACGTGTTTAACTCACTTAAGAAAGATGTATCAGTGTGGGGTGTGGCTTAATGATGACTGTGTGCTCAATGAAGAAACCACAGCAAGGCAGGCAGCTACCACCAACGCCTGGAAAGAGAAGGTCCTGGCCCACTGCAAGAACCCAATCCACCATTCTGCCCAATGACAGCACCAGTCAGATCACCCAGCTCACTCTCTGTGCTGACTCCAAGCCTCCTAAGAATCTTCTCTTTGTAATCCAACTTTCCACAGAAATTGGTTCTAAGAAAAAGAACGTGCTATCAAGTTAACATGAGTATAGAGTAAGCACTGGGGTTTTCCTACAGGAGTCTCTTGTGAGTGTTGTCCCTGGGTCTTGTGCTCTCAGAGAGCGACTGCCATGGACTGAATCCACACGACATTCTGGATAGTCAGGCATCCTCCTGCAGGAAGTGCTGCTTTAGTAACTCTGTGTGTTTATTTTAGATTTCCCAAAAAGATACCTGCAGATTAGACGCCTGCCCAGCTTTGACAGGGAGATACTCAGCTCCTTCGTTATGGTGACTGACCAGCAGGACATTATCAGCTCACCCCTGATATTCTTCCTCTTTGCAGTTTCACAACTACAGGAAGCTTCCGAGAAATGGGAAGTAAGAGAATTTGTATCTCTAGTAAGGCTAAATGTAGATGCACTTACCACTTCACTGTTGTATACAACACAGTTGATGAAGGGGTGGCTAGAACATTTCAAAGAACCAAACCCCCTAAAATTTTCATTAGGATGTGATTATGACATTTGATTTTACCTTTTAGAGTTAACTAAATTAAAGCTATTCCCATCTAAATGGAGAAGGTAAGTGGGATTTTCTTCTCTCTTGGTTACACCAGTACTGAACACAAAAGAGGTCTCAGGGTTAACTGTGGACATCCATCTGCTGTTGAATACTAATCTCAAGAGGCAGAAGCCTCCAGCAAACAGTTGGACCTACATGCAGCCATTGACGATTCACAACAAGCATCTAGTGCCACCTTGTGAGCACACGTGGTAATGCAGGAGGGAAAAAGTGATGGCTCCAAGGACCTATTCAAAGGAGACCAAAAAGCTCCAAATTATTTGCTACTGGGTAAAATGGTGGGTTAAATAAAATGAACTTCACTCCTCATATGATTTTTACCTTTCCATCAGATGGAAGATAACTAGATTTATGCAGAATGCACTTGGAGTGCACAGCGATTGCCATAAAGGCCCAGGGGGTGCCTGGCATGAAGGATTCTGTCCTAGAGAACTTGGAATTCTGGAGAATCCTATAGGAAGGCAGTGAAAACAATGGGGAGGAGAGGGAGGCAGCTTTTGCTACTTGCCCATGAGTTCCTACTTCTCTGCCTTCTCTCCCAGAGAATTGCTATTAGCCGGAGAAATAGCAGAACTATTTCCTGGAAGGGAGTCTGGAAACAGCAGGCCCTGAGATACAAATGACTTTCACCACATAAGAAAAAAGCACCGCCCCACAGCCTGTGCTTTCCGAATGGCTTTGCAGAAGCGTCCATTCACAACGTGTGAGCCCAGACCCTGCACCTGTTTCACCAGAATAGCAGCTTAAAAACAAGTTTAACATCTACTGATCTTTCAGGAGGCCACTCAGGACGTCTAATCACCAACCACACCTTGGCATTTGTGCCTGTCAGATATACCGGCGGACCTCAAATGTAGGCAGTAGCATTTCATTGCTACTTCTAGTATAGCCAGAAACACACATTGAAATATATCCTATTTCACTATAATGACTTTCCTTTCATTTATCCACTTTAAAAAAAAAAAAAACTTTTTGGCAGCGCCACAACTCACTAGGCTAATCCTCCGCTGCAGTGCCGGCACCCTGGGTTCTAGTCCCGGTCAGGGCACCAGATGCTGTCCTGGTTGCTCCTCTTCCAGTCCAGCTCTCTGCTGTGGCCACCCTCCTGTGGCCCAGGAGTGCAGTGGAGGATGGCCCAAGTGCTTGGGCCCTGCATCTGTATGGGAGACCAGGAGGAGGCACCTGGCTCCTGGCTTCGAATCGGCGATGTGCTGGCTGTAGTGGCCACTTGGGGGGTGAACCAACGGAAAAAGAAAGACCTTTCTCTCTGTCTCTCTCTCTCTCCCACTGTCTAACTCTGCCTGTCAAAAAATAAATAAATAAATAAATAAATAACTTTTTAAAGTACGTGGGTAGGTTAATAGGTGGCTGTTCTAAACTTTCTCTTCTTCCTGGGCATGCCTCAGCTAACTACATTTCCCAGCTTCCCTTGCTGTTAAGCATATCCATCTGGTTGAGCCAAGTTCAAGTCAATGGAATGTGGTGAATGCTATCCCTGAGTCAAGAATGTCAAGCAGCACTAGGTTCCGTCCACATTCTCTGAGCCTGTCTGCCTTCTAGATGGTGATAAGAAGGCAGCCACAAAGTGAAAGGAGCCTTCATTCCCGAACCTCTACACACAGAAAAGTCATGTACTTACAAGGAACATACACACTGAACTCTTACAACAATAAGAACTTGGATTGGCACTGTGGCACAGTGGGTTAAGCCACCACCTGTGACACCGGCATCCCATATGGGCACTGATTCAAGTCCTGGCTGTTCCACTTTCAATTCAGCTCCTGTCTACTACACATGACAAAGCAGAAGATGGCCCAAGCCCTGATTCAACTCCCTGCTAATGCACCTGAGAAAGGAGCAGAAGATGACCCAAGTCCTTGGGCCCCCACACCCGCATGGGCAAACTGGATGGAGTTCCAGGCTCCTGACTTCAGTGTGGCCCAGCCCTGGCTGTTGCAGCCATTTGGGGAGTGAACCAGCAGATAAGATTCATTCCCCTTCTCTCTCTCTCTCTCAACTCTGCCTTTTAAATACATAAATAAAATCTTTTTTAAAACAGTAAGAACTAAATTCCTATTGTGTTTGTTTGAGCTACTGAATCCTTGGGAGTCTACTTGTTATAGCTATTAATCCCATCCTCCCTTCCATGAGGTTATGGTGTCTGTAGATTTCATTCCAGTAGCATAGGAGGCATCACAAATCATTTGCTATACAAAGGAGGCATTCTGTCCAACACGGTCCAGAGCCATTCTCTTAGCTGCACTACCCAACACAACAGCCGCTAGATGCCTGTGGTTACTGAGCACCTGAAATATGACAGGTCCAAACTGAAATGTGCTGTAAGTGTAAAATACCCATTAGACTTCAAAGACTTAGTGCCAGACAGGAAGGTACAAATCCCACTAACAATTCTGAATACTGAATACAAATTTGAATACAATTTTAGATATGTTGGGCTAAATACAATGTTATTAAAATTAATTTCATGTGCCTTCTTTTATCTTTCTAATATGGTTACTATAAAAATGGAAAGTGAATTTGTAGATCACATTTTCTCACTATTAAACAGCACTGCTTTAGACCCCTTATGAGTGTTCTCACTTCCGGGGCTCCAAGTCACTAGCTCCGGTTCTGATGTAAGCAGGCATTTGGGCTCTTATCACTTCCTTGGCTTGACATTCTCTGTGTTTCCTGTGGGAGACATTTGCTCCTAGGGGATCCACCCCCACCGACCCCAGGCTCTGTCTGTGCATGTATGGGGGGAATGTCTGGGCTGCCACAAGTCTAGGAGTATTCCATTGTTATTATTTTCAAAAGGATTAAAATTGGGGTGTGTGTGTGTGTGTGTGAGAAAAAGAGAGAGAGAGAGGGAGAGAGAGAGAGAGAATGATTCTAAGGGGGAAATAACCACTCTAAGAAATAAAAAGGACAATTTCTCATTTTCGAAGAAAAAGGGTTCTGGCTGGCACTGATCAACGACTAATCCATTGCTGGCCCCCAGCCCCCTGGCCACCTTCTACTACACCAGAAACTAAATGCTTGCCGCTCAGATTCTCCTGCCGCTAGGAACAGTGGCATGACACAGCTCTGGTAGGGGACATAAGCAGAACTCAGTCAAGAGCTCTGGGAACCTTTTTGCTCTCCTGACAAAAGGAACAGAAGAATCCAGTACTCTTCCTTTTCCTTCTTTCTGCTTTGGATGCAAACTACATGTCTGGAGCTGCAGCAGCCACCTCAGGATCAAGACTTAACGAACAAGAAGGAAACATCAAGAGGACCACACGCACGCCGACTTGAATGTCTTTGAGCCACTCGACAATTGAGTCAGAGGCCCCGGCAATCAGGAAACCTACCTCCAGATGCCATGTCATAGGGCTTAAAAAACAAAAAGTCCTACAGGCCACACCCTCCTGTAGGCAGGTACCATGTTTTCTTTATAACAGCCCATTTCTAGTCTGTGTGCTGAGCACCGTGCAGACAGAAATAAGCACAAAGAGGACCCTGTACTTGCAGAGCGTTCACTGACTAAATGAGAAATAACTAATGCAAAGGGGAGACCAGAGACCGTTCTGGAGAGCGTTGGATGTGCCCACTCAGGATGCAATGGTAGAGGTATCCCAATAACAGAGACTGCATTTCCCTCAAATCAGTCGGATGAGGTGCTCAGAGAAGACTAAATATGACCCAGGGAAAGGAAAGAAATGAGTTTTAAACACCCCATGTTGTAGAGTAAAATTCATACCAGCTGCATGTTTGTGATGTAACTTGGAGGACTTTATCTCTTTTTTTAGAACAGATGTAAAAGCTAAAGAGAACAACTTTGCCACCTGTATTATTCAGCTTTTTGCTACTATAACAAACTACCCGAGGCAGACTAAGTTTAAAAAGAAAAAATAAGGTTTATGTAGCTCACAGTTTAGAAGCTGGAAGTCCAAACAGCATGGCACAGGCTCTTGTGAGGGCCCCATGAGAGGCGACAGGACTGAATGTGGGAGGAAGGGATCACATCTCAACATGAAAGCAGGGAGACCAAGTCGGGCCTGCCACAGGCTTTTGTAACAACTTGCTTTTGGGAGAGCTACCAAGGGATCCCAGGAGAGCGACCTTAATCCCTTTTAAGGGCACATCCCCTATTGCCCTCGCCCAGGCTTCCCAATACCACCACCCAGCTGCCAACACAGGAGCCTCCGGGGAAAAACCACAGCACCCCTTTATCCCTCTGCTCTCACTACTACATGCTTCCAAGTTTGGGATATTTGTAATTTAGGATTTGGTTTCTACCTCCACTTGCAGAAATTAAAGCCATGAGACCCTTGGCTAGGGAATAAAAAAGAACAACTTCTCAGCATTGTGTCTAGGTTTAGAAAATCTCTAGCTTTTTATCAATATCAGTCCCACCCCCGATCAAATGCTTGATGAAAACACCTCCCTACAAGAGCTAACAATAGAAGACAGATCTCTGAGAAACAACCTCAGCCGTGTTCACAACCTTTCAAACCAAGACTTAAGTTGAATCTTGGAAGACCATCCAACAAGAACACTGAAAGAGCCTCAGAGTGACAGCTGATGGCAGTAGTCTACTCTTTTTCTGTCCTCAAAACCTCAGCCCTGTACCTTGTAACCAAAGAAAACACTCCCCTGGAAAAAATAAAATTGCACCCAACCAAATGGAAGAACATCTGTGATTCAGACCCTCCTCTGGCAGGACAGTCATTGGCCCATTCAGCCCTGTGAGGCTGCAGGCCCCGAGAGACAACAGCAGTGTTCAATGGTCAACCAGGCTCAAGGGCAGGGCCCTCCCAGCAGGAATCCGCCACGCCCCCAACAAAATGTGCAAATGCAAATGGATGTGCCACTTACCTGAGAGAATGGCGAACTGTCTGTGAAGCTGTTCTATTATATCCACTGCCACCAACGGCCTGACCTCCTGTTGCATAATTTCGTCTGCACACACACAAAAAAAATCAATTGGGTTAAATCCTTGCATGTTACAAAGAGAAACTAGAAATAAACAAGGAAGCTTCCACTAGTGGGAAATCTCAGGCTTATCAACTTATGGTTTTGGGCACATTGTCCCATGTCAACAACTCAATTCCTGACATGCAGAGCTATACCTGGGGTTTGTGTGGTCTGAAGATTACACACATGAGCAGGGAACACATTCTAGAGCCCCTTGCAAGGAAGCAGCCCTTACAAGGTTTTAGCTTCAGTTACGTCCCAGCAAACTGCTGTATGGTTTCATGACCATTGCAGGCATTTGTTTGCTCCTATGAGTTTGCAAAGAGCGTTTTTTAAATTGACACATAATAACTGCACATATTACAGTGTACAGTGTGACACTTCAAGATGTGGATCCAGTGTGTAATAATCAGATCAGGGCAATTAGTATTTCTACCACCTCAAACGTTTTTCATTTCTTGATGTCAAGAACATGCAAAACCTTATGGCCATCAAACACAGTTACTCCACTGTGCCGTGGAACATGAGAGGTTGTCCCTCCTGTTCACCTGGCCATCCTTTCTCCTTCCTCCCTCCCCTCTGGCAACCCCCTCCTACTCTCCTAAGAGATCACAGGAGAACGTTTTAAACACAACACGGACACCAGAACCTCCTCAAGAGGGGCCACAAAATTGTCCTGAAGTTGACCAGGGTTCTGTGACTTTCACTTCCCTCTCTGCCTCACTCCCTTCCTTTTTCTCTCCTTCCTTTCCCATCTCTCTCTCTCTCCGCTTTGTAAAAATATTTATCCCAAAAAACTAAAAAAAAATGTAATAATAATAAAGATAATAGAGTAGAAACTTGGCCTGTGTCCCACACTGATCGTCCTCTCTGGCTCCTGATACCACCTTCCCACCACTGCAGACCGTGGGCAGTGGCCATGAGTAAGGAGGATCCTAACACCCACGGGCAGATCAGGACTGCAATCCCAGCTCCTGGCTTCAGCCCTGCTGCAGCCACGGCCACTACATGCATTTGGGGAGTGGACCAGTATCCGGGATCCCTCTCTCTCTCTCAAATAAATGAAAATAATATTCTTTCTGACTGAAAGATTACATGTTTCCATGGCAAAAACTCACTTCAAAGGTCCTCTGACCTAACTCCAGCAAGTGGCTTTTGAGCCCTGTGACTTGCATCTATATCCATTTGGGAAAAGGGACCAATCTGTTTTCCTGAGCTAGGGAGAAGGCAAATTCATGCTTTTCAGTCTACAACTTAACTATTTTCCAGGGGATTTTTTTTTTAAGATTTATTTTTATTTATTTGAAAGGCAGAGTGAAAGAGAGAGAGGGAGATACAGAGAGAGGTCTTCCATCTACTGGTTCACTCCCCAAATGGTTGTACCACTCAGGGCTGAACCAGGCTGAAGCCAGGAGCCAGGAACTTTATCCAGGTCTCCCACAGGATTACAGCACCCCAAACACTTGGGTCATCTTCTGCTGCCTTACTAGGTGCATAAGTTAGGAGCTTGATAGGAAATGTAGCAGCCAGGACTCAAATCAGTGCCCATATGGAATGCTGGCACTGTAGGCAGCAGCCCAACCTGCTACGCACAGCACCAGTCCCTCCCAGGGAATCATAAAGCATGAATTGGTTATTGGTTCTACAGGAGGCAAACATCTGGTTAGATGAAGGTATGGACTAATAGTCTGGAAGCTGATGCTGAATGGAAGCCTCCTATGGATTCTGTATGGAGTGATGGTAACATCATGATATTCTGGTGCTGGCATTGGAGGTACAGCAGGGTAGGAGCTGACTACAGTACCAGCATCCCACATGGACACCAGCTGAAGTCCTGGCTGCTCCACTTCCAATCCAGCTCCCTGCTAATCTACCTGAGAAAGCAGTAGAAGATGGCCCAAGTGCTTGGGCCCCTACCACCCACCTAAGAGACTTGAATGAAGTTCCTGGCTTAAGCCTGGCTCAGCCCCAGCCATTGCAGCCATTTGGGGAGAGATCCAGCAGATGGAGGGTCTCCCTCTCTCTCATAACTCTGCCTTTCAAATAAATAAATAAATCTTTAAAAAAAAAGTCATGATATTCTAATGTTGACAGGTCTAAGGTAATATTTGGGAAGCTCTTCTTAGCTTTGGTATGAAGGTTAAAGGAGATGGTGAATATGGATATGTACACAGTAGGTGATCAATAAATGCTACTTTCCTCTATTGCTCTGAACATACATGCCTTTCCCATATTTGCTCTCTGAAACTCTTGCAACGGGTAAGTCAAGTGCCAGCTTTAGCCCTGAGATACTTCTCAGTGAATTCCACCATGTTTTCTGGAGGAAGGGGGGTAAATTCTAAATATAGCTCCTGCAATCCAATACCTCCACCAGAAATCACTGAAAATTCAAAGAACTCCTGCCTCACTATTGGGTGGCTGTTATAAAGGCACTGTAGTTATATTTTACAAAATGGGAAACCTTTGCTATTAGAAATACAAAGTGTGGCATTATCAGTAAAATGACAGAAAGTCTGTGATTTGTCTAAAATGTTATATATAGCCCTCCCCTGTCGCTCCCCCTCTTCGTGGAGGAACGACACAGGACCCTGCGCTGTTCTTTCGTCTGCTCGGCCCTCCCCGGGTTTGCTGCTGGTTCTTCCCAGGTTGGCTACCGTCCCTTCCACCTCCGTGGAAGGGCGGTTCTCCCTGCCACATTCCCCACTTCCGTGGGGGAGCGGCACACCGCCGGCTGGCTCGCTCGGGGGCTGCACAGGTGTTCCCCTTAGATGTTCCCCTTAGATGTTCCTCGTGCATGCCGTCTCTCTCCTCCTTTATAGTCCTCTTCCACCAATCCCAACTCTGCTACCCACACGCCGAGTACGCTGCTCTCCTCCAATCAGGAGCAGGTCCCACAGTTTATTGGTTGAACTGGAGGCAGCTGTGCAGAAGCTGTTTACTTCTCTCCCAGCGCCATATTGTGGGAGAGCAGATGCATAGAATAAGTCTTAATTCCAGTAACTCAGTCCAGTCCGGGCTGCTCCCCACAGATCCCCCTTTCTTTTTATTTTTTGGCGTTGATACGCGCCTGTCTTTGGTGTCCCGCGGCACACACTCTGCTCTACTTGCTAGAGTTGCCACAGGTTCTTACAGGTCCTATCAATCAGGAAAACCGAATCCGGGTCCTCTCTTCGCCATGTTGTGAGGAGGTTTTTAGGCGCTGATGCGTGCCTGTGTTCGGTGACCTGCGGCTCACACTCTGGTCGAGCCGCTTGCTGGTGCTTACCGCCTTAATCAGGCAGACCGAATCCAAGCTTTCTCATTGCCGTATTGTGGGGGAGACTTATTAGTGTTGGTTCGTGCCTATCTTCGGTGACCTGCAGCTCATACTCTGGTCGAGCTGCTTGCTGGTGCTTACCGCCTTAATCAGGCAGACCGAATCCAAGCCTCCTAATTGCGGTATTGTGGGGAGGCCTTACTGATGTTAATTCGTGCCTGTCTTCGGTGACCTGCGGCGCATAAGCTGCTAGCCGCCGCAGGTGCTCATCGCCTCACTTAATCAGGCAGACCGAATCCAAGCTCTCACATTACTGTGTTGTGGGGAGGCCTTTCTCTTTCTCTATTTCTCTATCTCCGGGCATTCCTATTTCTCCCATTTTACTTCTGTCTGCCAACCTTCCCATTTCTCTCATTTTACCCGCTACACTACGGAAACTTCTAAACTTCTGTTTCTCTTATCCCCGCGGCTTCCCGGCTGCGCCCGCCCCGAGGCTGCTTCTCGGCAGCTTTCCAGCTCTGAGCCGCTTCAGCCCGCGCCTCTCCCATCTGCGCGGCTCGGCTTTGCGCGCACACTCCGCGGTCTCGCACTTAACCCTTTCGCGTCTGAACCACAGCCTCGCGCCAGCCCCGCGTTCCCTATGTACTTGAGCCCCGCACACTCTCTCTGCGCACGGCAGCCTCCGCGAGTCACACAGCGTAGCTTACGTGTCCGCCACTAGCATTCAATCCAAGTTCCCTGGGCTAGCCTGGCGAATTCAACCCAGCTTACGTCTCCGCCCCACGGTTTGGCTTCCCGTCCTTTGCTCCCCGGGCTAATCAGACGGATCCCAATCTGGCTTACGTTTCAGCTTCTGGTTTCAACTTTTCGCCCCCCATTCCCGGGCTAACTTGAGAATCCCAAAGTGGCTTTCGTTTCCACCTTGGCCTGCCCCCCGCGGCTTCAATTTCCCTAACATTTTTCTCTACCCGGTATGTTTCCCCAAGCTTTCCTCCAACAATACTCCTCCCTCATTTCTCCTGGCCTCTCCCCACAGTCCGCATCCGAGTCTGTTTGTTCTAGCTTTCACTTTCGCTTTCGACCTTAGAGATTTCTCCCAGCTTCCCCCCGTAGTCCGTATCTGAGTCTATGCCTAGGCTTTCAATAGCTTCTTCCGGCACCTTTTTCGTCCGGCTTTTCCCTAGGCTGTTTGCTAGTCTCTCTCTCCGATATTTTCCCTAGGCTGTTTGCTAGTCTCTCTCTCCGATATTTTCCCTAGGCTGTTTGCTAGTCTCTCTCTCCGATATTTTCCCAGTTCTTCCCGTTTCTTCCCTCCTAAGTTTCATATCCGTCCTAGGTTTCCTATCCGAGTCACGGCACCATTATGTCGCTCCCCCTCTTCGTGGAGGAGCAACACAGGACCCTGCGCTGTTCTTTTGTCTGCTCGGCCCTCCCCGGGTTTGCTGCTGGTTCTTCCCAGGTTGGCTACCGTCCCTTCCACCTCCGTGGAAGGGCGGTTCTCCCTGCCACATTCCCCACTTCCGTGGGGGAGCGGCACACCGCCGGCCGGCTCGCTCGGGGGCTGCACAGGTGTTCCCCTTAGATGTTCCCCTTAGATGTTCCTCGTGCATGCCGTCTCTCTCCTCCTTTATAGTCCTCTTCCACCAATCCCAACTCTGCTACCCACACGCCGAGTACGCTGCTCTCCTCCAATCAGGAGCAGGTCCCACAGTTTATTGGTTGAACTGGA